TCTAGAAGGTTCTTTTCATTCCTAATTAAATTAGAATTGATAAATTGACTTTAGTTGGCTTTTTGAAGTTTTAATCAGAATAAAAGAGTGTTTTTAAGGAAAATACGATTTTGCCCTGCTGTACGGCTAAATTTATCTGAATTAAAAAAATGCGTAAAAAAATTAATTAGCGCCTGATGACAGACATTAGCGTATGGCGCTAATGTTCAGCGCCTGACGCTAACTTCTTTTTTCCTCGTCGAAACTCTGATTTGTTTTTCTATCCGTTTGGCTGATTTTCTCTACAAATAGCCTCCTAAAATCTCGTTTTTCATCACCAATTCTCATCAAATTCTCTTCTCTCTCGAAGCTAAAACTCTCTCTCTTTTTTCTAAACCAACTCTTTTGCATACAAAACTCCGCATTCACAAGATCTAGACACATCTAGCCAAGTTCGAAGTTGCCTTCTCCCTAGACGTGAAAGGTTTTAATTTCTGAGGGTTTGGTCCCAAATCTTTATTTCAATTATTTAATTTAATTGTTGTTTATTATTTTCGTTGAAGTTACTAACGCGTGTATTTTGTTATTAGAAAGAGGTACGAGACATCCAAGTAAGTGCTTTAATTGATTTATTGATATTATGATATAGAAATCATGCTTAGGTTGTTATTATGATTCCTAGTGTCATGTTAGGGTGTTTAGATCTTCCTAGTATTATGTTTAGGGTAACAACTATAATTTCTAATATCAAATATGACAATTGTGATTCCTGTGATGCTTCCTATTTTTCTCTTCCTAATATTCATGTTAGTATCATGTTAGGGTTAAATATTTGATCTTTATATGTTTAGTGACATGCTAGGGTTTGTTATTAATCTTATTAGTATCATGTCTAGGATCTTACTATTATTATGCTTTAACATGATGATTATTATTATTGTTATAATTATGATTATAATTGTATTTATTATTATAATGTTGCTTGATTATATTTATTGTTATTTCTTCATCACACCTTTATGCATGTTTAAAGGGAATTTGTACTTGTAATCACGCTTAATAAGATAATTAATAAACTTGTTTAGGGTTAATATGGTTATAATTCAAGTGATCGCCAATAATATATTTGTTTGTGCATTAATATTCAACCAACATAGATAAACAGGTTCAGGCCAGGGTTAATCCTATTGATTGCATGTTAGTCAAAAAGCGCACATGAATACGATCAGAATAAAGTAGAGGCCTATTATTAGGGCAGGTTCAATCTCTTTTAGGTTGGATTTGTACCTTCATCCCCGAACTACCAGTCATGGTACAAGACCTATTGGAGTTAACGATCTCCTGGATCGTTAAAGGGTGTAACCTTCACCTCGTGAACAGTTTAAAAGTTCCTTAAAAAACTTGTTGGAGACTCTTTTGATCTATCTTCTTCCCCTTTGGACGCCACCGTACTTTATTATATGATCACAGTGGGGTTCAAGCTAGGGGTAATGCTTGAAATATTCCCTACAGTTTTTGGCCACTCCATTGGGAGGATTTCTATTTTTATTCCTGAAATTTATTTCGGCAATGATTTAGAATCAGTGGATGAGACTCGAATTGTTCTAAGTATTTCATGTGCGTGGTTTTGATTAACATTATTGTCATATGCATAAAAAAGATCTCATTGGAAAGAACATCCGTAATGAGTTAAAACATAGGATTTTTACACGTAGGAAATTTGAGGAATATCTTTCACAACTAGGATCGAAATAATGATGCGTGAAACTGGAAAATTTTATCGAGCACAGAAAGCTGGTGAGGCATGTAGGAATTAGCGATAGGGAACAAAGTCTAGCGCCAACAATTTAACATTAGCGCCTGGCGACAACTTCTTTCGCCAGGCGTAAAGCCAACTTGTGGCACTGGCCTCTGTTTGCTGGCGCCAAGTTCTTCCAATACCGAGCTAGAAATATGGATTCTAATTTCGACCAGTTTTTAGCGCTGTTTGCTCGATCCTACTTCCTGATTGAGTTTTTCTCACTTTTCCGAAACCCATATGTGTTCTACATATGGACATAACCCTCTGGGAATTCATGTTCCATCTACCTGATTGAACTCTCTGAGCAACAAAGGGTACATCCGAGAATGTTGAATTCACCAAACCATGAAAGCTTTAAAAAAAACTCGCGGTGTCCCATCCACTCGCGCCAACCCTTCACGGTTAGGCTTCCGCGCGGTGCATCCGGACAATTAACCATGGACCCTCTATTGACTAACCCATATCCCGAACTTTAGAGAACTAGAGCCATGGTTAGGTTGCAAAATCATTGCATCATGTTGTGCCTACTTGAATAATTGTGCATTATTGGTTGTGCATCCTCTATTTGTTTTTCTTAACCGTTTGTTTGACTTGTGTTAAGATTAAATAAACTGATTTATGACTAAAAGAACTTTGCCTAATTAATTAATTAATTAATTAATTAATTTGAGTAATTAAAGTCTAATAATTTAATCAGAGTTGACTTAGTACGACTTTAGGCATACCCTGTACAATTATAATACCGAAAGCAATTCCAGATCAACGTTCCAGCAATGGCGCCAAGATTTAAATTGCAGCGCCACTCTGTACAGCGTAGCGCCTGGTGTTTAGGGTAAAAATTACCCTAGACAGGTGTCCCTATAGGAGAAGGCCACGTGTCAAGACCAGGCTGACCCAAGTGGTCCCATAACCATCCGACACGTGGCTCCTTCAGAAGAATTCTTAAATGGCGGCCTTCAAGGGCCCAAATCCCTAGAAGCGTCGTAAAACGGCGCAGCCCACTAAAATCTAGGTCAAGTGACCTAGATAGGGGCACTCCTACCAATGACCCTGTAAATAGGGAGATATTTCCCCATTTTGGGGACACGTTCAATCATTGATTACACCTACATTCTCTCTCATCAGAGAAACACCTGAGCTTGGAATCCAAGCAGATCCCCACCTAAATTTCCGTACTCTATTCTCTTTCAAGTTACTAACTTGATCTTCGGACGCGGAGCTCCAACCACCCAGAGTCTCCGTTGTTTTGCAGGTACAACTCGGTCGGACCAATCTCTGTGACGAAACTCTCCCGAGGGACAAAAGCACCCAAAACACCTGGCGACAGTCCAGTTTTCTGGCGCTACACTGCAAAGAGAGGCGCAATTCCTGTCGTTTTGGCGACAGTTCGGTTTGTTGCTCGAGTTATCACCTTATGTCTAATTGAGCAGTTTTCTAGTCGATTCAGTTAATTTTTACTAGTAATAATACTTTGTCAAGTCATTAATCGAGTCTAAGCACTAAGTCCCATGGTTTTACACAAGAGTCAAAGCATGTAACTTACACTCACCATATAAAGCACACACTAATGCACACTTTGACCATGTCTAGGGGAGTCTTGTATGCGCGTTTTTCTGTCATTTTTTTAGGGGGGTAAGTCGGATATTAATCCTCCAATTAAACCACTTGTTTGAACCCTATACTTAACTCCAAAATATGTATACCTTATTTTTGCCAAAAATATGCACCCTATTTTTGTTTTTTTTCTTTTTCCAAAATGTAAAGTCAAAGTCAATTTGAGTCAAGTCATTAAAACAAAAATGGTTTAATTTACAGCGCGTGGTCAAGAAAGGAAGGGCGTTTGATCAAAGACAACCTTTTTATTCAAGTCCAACTTTTCGACAAACTGATCGCTCGTAAAAGGAAAGCTAGGACAATAATGGCAACTCAAGAGGAAGTTAATGAGCTCAGGAACCAATTGATCACTATGACTGAGGCGTTAAAGGTTTTAACCCTTAAAATTGATAATCCTGTGAAACAACAACAGATGGACCTCATGCAAGAGAGTCTAAGCAAACTGTCTAGTAACTATAAGTTTCAAGGAATTATCTCATAAGGGGTCTCGATGGACAAGAATCTTCTTCCGCAGAAGTTCAATGCCAACGACATCCCGAAATTCAAAGCGACTGACAATCCTTACTTTCATCTAAGAGCCTTCGAAACAATAATGAGTATCAAAGCCATTGACAAAAAGGTGTTTCCCTCTTTGTTCTCACTATCTCTCGAAACCGTTTGCCAACAATGGTTCTTTTCTCTTGAGAAAGAAAGAATCTCTACTTGGGAGTCTATAGTAAACGCTTTCATTGATAGATACAAGTGCAACATTCAAGTTGAGACAGACTATAGAGAACTTGAAATCCTCAAGCAGAAGGAGAATGAAGGTTTCACCTCTTTCTTTAACAAATAGAGAGAAACCTCAGCTAAGATGATTGAGGTGCCAAGTGAAAAAGAATTTGTAAGGTTATTCATCAAAATCCTTCAAGAGAAGTACTCAAAGCATCTTAAATACCAAAATAATCTCCATATCTTCAAGGTCGTCTATGACATTGGAATCAATATTGAAGACGATCTGTCTAAGCTGAAAGCTGCTAATAGTAACTCCAACAATGGCTGGAAAGGCAAGAAGAACGACAATCCTTCTTCTTCCAAAACCACCCACTTAAACAATGTTAGTACCTTTAACTTATGTGAAGTCCTTGATATGAATAATCAAGGACACAAGAAACCATTTAGGAGGAACTTTACTCCTATAGGTATGAGTTATGACACAACATTTGACCGATTGAATGCAAAAGGTCTTATAACTCCTATTGGACCATTTGAGGACCCACCGGTTGAGAAGAGAATGGCTAATTGGAACCCCAATGCACATTGCAAGTATCACCAAGGTAGGAGCCATCTTACCGAAAATTGTTGGAAGCTTAAGGAAGCTATCCAAGACTTAATCGACAACAATAAACTACCATTGCCTCCTGCCAGTAAGAAGCCAAGCATTGATAATGCACCTCTCGCTCGCTCCTTAGCCATCTCTGATGAAGAAAACGAGGTTGATCCCTCATCTCTCATCAAACCTATCGAGGAAATCCATGCTATTGAAGGAGAGGAGGAGATCTTTTTCGATGCCATGGATGACTTTCCAGAATTAGCAAGTAAAGAGGATGTACAGTTGCTTACGTTGTCCATGTTGGAGGGATTAAACTTGCTACATGAAGCTCTTGAAGTTGCGAAGAAACAATTAGAGGAACTTCAGAAAAAGTGTGACAAGGTTCCACCCACGAAAAATAAACCCAGGAGAGAGTTCACTCCCATGGGAATGACCTATGATACTACTTTTGATCGCTTCTGGTATCAAGGACTAATCAAACCTATTTGCCCTACATAGGATCCAACACCAGAAAAGTGATCTTTAGGATGGGATCCCAATTCCTACTGCAAGTAACATCAAGGAAACGGTCATACCACGAATGAATGCTACAGGTTTCAAAACCTCATTCAAGATCTCATGGAAGCAAACAAGATCCCATTGCCTCTAGCTAGCGAGAAAACAAAGAAATCCTTTTCTTTGCAAGTAATTGATAAACCCAAGAAGAGTAATAGACTCTATACTCCAATTGGGATTCCATATGCTCAAATGTTCAAAATGCTCTCCAAGAGTGGCGAGGTCAAACATCTCGAACCGAGACCATTTGAATCATTAAAAAGGACAGATAGATTATACTGTCAATACCATCAATCAGGGGGTCACACTATCGAAAACTATTTTAAATTTAAAGATTTAATTTAGAAAATGATTTATGACAAAAAGCTAGTCCAAATTCCACAAGAGAAAGACATAAGTATTAATGGAGTTTTGGACAGTGATGAAGAAGACGTTTACTTAAAAGACATGGTAGGACCTCCACCTTCGGTGTCATATGCCATGGATGACTTCTGGGTTGAAGAAGATTCATCCATAGACGTCCTCACAAGATCCGGGAGAATGCAACCTCCTATTTCGACACAACCTATACCAACTACGCAGCAAGTTCCCATACCTATCATGGAAGACAATGATATTGTCAAACAGTTTAAGAAAACCAAAGTTGAAATGAATTTATGGAAACTTCTAGCAACGTCTCAAGAGCATAGGTTGGCAGTGATGACTGCCTTGGATAAGATAGGGATATATTCTGACACCACTCCTGAGGGGTTGGCTAACTTCCTTACGAGTGATCTCCCTAGTTCTATCAACTTGATCACCTTTTCCGACAAGGACTTACCTCCAGAAGGTGACAAGCATTATAAGGCATTAAACCTCACAGTAGTTTACAAGAGAATGAACATCCCTAGTACTCTTGTAGACAATGGATCAGCCATTAATGTCAGTCCACTCAGAACTGCGAGGATGCTAGGCATAAGGGATGAAGACCTAACCCCGTCAACACAAGGAATAAGAGCTTACGACAACACTCGTCGTCAAGCTCTTTGCAAGATCACAATGAATATAACGGCGGGAGCAATAGAACACGCTACTACATTCCAAGTAGTAGATATTAAGGCTTCATTCAGTTTATTGTTTGGACGCCGTTGGCTTCATGACCTAAAGGTCGTCCCTTCATCTCTCCACCAACAAGTAAAGGCCATAGTTGGAGGAATTCCCATTACAATCGATGCTTCACCCATGAGGATTAAGTCTATAGAAAATCCAATAATTAATGTGGAGCACGATGAAGATGATGAAGATTTGTGGGGCTTTAACGAAGAGGTCTCCTTAATCGAGGAAGATGAAAGGACCCCTCTTTGCCACGACCCCCATTCCAATATGATAGTGACAATATTCTCCTGGCTATTGAATTGATCAAAGGCTACTCTCATAAGTTTGTTTCTCCTAGGTGCATGGTCAAGATTGACTTGAGGAAGGCCTATGACTCTGTTGAATGGCCCTTTTTGCATACTGTTTTAGAAGAGCTTGGTTTCCCTCATTCTGTTGTGAAGTGGATTATGACTTGTGTCTGTTCTATTTCTTACTCTGTGATGGTTAATGGTTTTCCTGCTACGCCTTTTTCTGCAAAAAAAAGGGTCTTAGACAAGGAGATTCTATGTCTCCTTTTCTCTTTTCTCTATGTATAAAGTACCTATCTAGGTGCCTTAAGGAAATGACTGGGAATCCTAACTTCAATTTTCATCCTAGATGTGAGAAATTAGGTATTACCCACATGATGTTTGCTGATGATCTTCTCCTTTTTTCTAGGGCTGATTTCGTCTCTATTCAGCTTCTCTTGCAGGCTTTCCAGAAATTCTCTTGTGCTTCTGGTCTGATGGCTAATTTAAGTAAGAGTGAGGTTTATTTTGGAGGCATCTCTGATTTTGATAAAGATCAGCTGCAAACGTTTCTTGGTATGAGTAGAGGTAGTTTGCCTTTTAGATATCTTGGGGTGCCTTTGTCTTCTAAAAAGCTTACTGTTGCTCAATATAGGCCTTTGGTTGAAAGGGTTACTGCTAGGATTGGATGCTGGACTTCTAGACACTTGTCTTATACTGGTAGGTTACAGCTTATCAAAAGTGTTCTCTTTGGTATTCAGGCTTATTGGGCTCAGATTTTCATTCTACCTAAGAAGATTCTTAGGGAAATTGAAACTAAGTTAAGGATTTTTCTTTGGACTAGGAAGAACACTTATGCAAAAAAGGCCCCTGTCTCCTAGCATCATATGACTCTTCCTAAGGTATGTGGTGGCTAGAATATTACCTCTCTTGGTGATTGGAATAAAGTTGCTATATGTAAGATTCTTTGGGATCTTGCTCATAAATCTGACAATATGTGGGTGAAATGGGTACATACCTATTATTTCAGCAATAGAAATATCTGGACTACTACTATTCCCAAGAAATGCTCCTGGGTTTTGAATAAAATCTTGACTTGCAGAGATATTATTGATGGTATTGGTGGCTGGTCCTTTATTATGAAAATGGGAAAATGAGTATTGCTAAACTTTATGCCCAGATTCGACCAGAGGCTTTTAAAGTAGGGTGGAAAAGAATTGTTTGCAATAACCAAGCCGCTCCTAAGAGTATTTTCATTACTTGGTTAGCTCTGCTTGATAAACTTGCCACTAAGGACGGAATTGTTAAGTGGAATACAAGTTGTGATCCTATTTGCTTTTTCTGCCAGAACTCTTGTGAAACTGTGTCTCACTTGTTCTTTTGCTATCCTTACTCTAAGACTATTTGGGAACATATATTGAAGCTTCTTGATGTGAAAAAATCAGTTCAACCTTTCCACATTGAACAGCAATGGATAGTTAAGAATTGCAGGAAGTCTAGCAACAAGGGTAGAGTATACTCTATGTGTTTCTACAGTATATGGCTGCAAAGGAATAGTTTGATGTTTACAGGTGACTGTAAACCTGCATAAACTGTTTTTAAAGACATTATTTTTCATGATGCTATTAGATGTAATGGAGCAGACAGGAAGCTACTTTTGCTTCACTTATTTTTTTTATTGTAGCAATTTGGTTTCAGGCCTGCTGGTTTCTAATACTGTTTTGTTTTGGGTGGCAGCTGGTTTTTGGTCAGGTTTCTGTCTGCTGTGCTGTCTGCATTCTTCAGCAACTTGGTTTTCTTAGGTGGCAGCTGGTGGTTCGTTTTCTGGCTGCTGGTTTTTTATTTTGGGTTGCTGTTGCTGTTGTTGTTCTGTTGCTATTGCAGTTCTGTCCTGTTGCTGTTCTGGTTTCAGGTTTGCTGCAGGTTGTTCTGGGTGGCAGTTGGTTGTCTTTTGGCTTGGAGCTGCTCTGGTTTGCAGCTAGTTTTGGCAACTTTTACTGGTGCTGCAAGTTGTCAGTTTGCTGGTGCTGCTGTTCTAATTTGCTGTTGCTGTTCCTGAGCTGCTATTCTTGCTTTTTTCTGGTCTGCTGCTGCTGTTTTTAGTCTGCTGCTACTGCTGTTTTTTAGTCAGCTTTTTTATTTTTGTTTTGTTTTCTGGTGTTTTGCTTGGTTGTATTCCTTGAGTTGTTGTATTCCCTCTTTTTGTCTAGTCCTGTTTCTTTTGCAACTGAGTCTAGGTGGGGGTTTTCTATTTACAGTTGCTGGTTGGTGTATCTTGTTTGTAGGTGTGTCCTGATTTGTGTTTGTTTTTGTGTTCTTGGGCCTGGTTTCTAGAACCCTTCCTAGAAGGTGGCTGGAAGCTTGCTCAGGTTGTTCTTGTCTCTTTCTCTTGAACCCTTCCTAGAAGGTGGCAGGATATTGAGCTTGAACTGTTTGGTGGTTGGTTGGCCTGTTTTTCAGGTCTTGTGGGGTTTGGTGTTTGTTACTTCTTAGCTCTTGTAAGTTGTAACTTCTCTTTTTGGTAATAAAATTCTTCATATTTACCAAAAAAAAAGAAATATGATAGTGAACGCTATTCTGAAGAAATTAGGACATTTTCCTGGGATGACCCTAGGAAAGAAGAAAGGAATAGCAAAATTGCTGGAATCACCTGGCCTCCCTAAATTAGACACTTTCAGACTTGGTTTTGAACCGACAACGGAAGATCTCAAGCGAGCCTAGGAAATGTCAAAAGCACGTAGGAACGCTCACATCCAAAAGAAAGCAATCCCAATGGATCAATATCCTCTTACCCTCAATGGACAATTCATAAAAGAAGGAAAGGACTATCCATGCTACGAGTTTCCCGAACCGTTTGTCGTAAATGGCATAAGGCAACCGGGATTTGAAATTTTCCTAGATTGTTATTTTATAGATGAAATCCCAACTCCTGTCCACAAGGAGAAAGAACGTTCATGCTTTGACTTTAATGTCATGGGATTACTATTTGGGCGAGAAAAAGATGAGCCAACGTACATAGAGGATAACTCCTCGCTCATCCAAACGGTCCTACAAAGCAAAAGGATCACTACAAGGGTGGCGCAAGACCGTCAAGGTGACTACTCCAAGCGGAAGGAAAATCTCCATCACAACAGGGCAAGTACCGATGTTCGAAGAGTCATCCGAGTCAGAGTCAAAGTCAAAGTCTTTTCCCGTAGAGTCATCTAAATCTTTAGTTGTAGCACCCTCTTCTTCTATCTCTTCCCCTAGGATAGTTAGCGATCAAGTCCCTGAGGACATATCTCTCTTCGATGTAATGATTTCCGAATTTAATAATATGTCTTCTTCCTCTTACTCCTCGTGTTTTTCTTTAACCCAAGATGACAAGCATTGCTTAACTAACAATGAAAATGACAAAGAACTTATTAAAGTAATGGAACACTTGAAAAGAAAACACCGATAATTGAAGAAACTGAGACAGTTGATATCTCAAATGCATCAACCAATAAAAGAGAAGTTAAAATCGAATTAACACTCAATGAACAAGAAAGAACCGATTTAATCAACTTGCTTAAAGAATTCATCGATGCATTCGCTTGGTCATATGAAGATATGCCAGGCAGTAATAGAGAAATAGCTCAACACACCATACCGCTAATTCCAGGAATGAAACCTGTAAAACAAAAGTTACGTCGAATGAAACCCGACGTAGCTCTTAAAATAAAAGAAGAAGTTCAAAAACAAAAAACTGCAGGTTTTATCAAGGTATCCAAATACCCTGAATGGGTCGCCAACGTCGTCCCAGTTCCGAAATAGGATGGAAGGGTAAAAATGTGTGTCGACTATCGAGATCTAAATAAGGCAAGTCCAAAGGACGACTTCCCTTTACCACACATCGATATTCTGGTAGATAACACAGCAAATCATGCACTTTTCTCGTTCATGGAAGGATACGCGGGGTACAATCAAATTCTCATGGCGGAAGAAGACATGGAGAAAACAACTTTCATAACACCATGGGGTACTTACTGCTACACGGTAATGCCATTAGGGTTGAAAAACGCGGGTGCTACTTACCAACGAGCAGCGACTGCCTTGCTCCATGACATGATGCATAAAGAAGTCAAAGTATATGTGGACGATATGATTGTGAAATCAAAAGATCGCCCAGGCCATCAAATAGCCTTAAGAAAATTCTTCGAAAGGCTAAGAAAATACAACATGAGGTTAAATCCATCCAAGTGTGCTTTTGGAGTCACCTCAGGCAAGCTTTTGGGATATGTCATAAGCTCTAGAGGCATAGAGATAGACCCAACCAAGATCAAGGCAATCATGTCAAGCCACCGCCCAAAACCGAGAAACAAATTCGAGGATTTATTGGCTGGTTGCAATATATAAGTAGGTTCGTATCAAAATTAACAACAATATGTGAACCAATATTCAAGAAGCGCAAAAAGAATGTACCAGTAATATGGGAAGATGAGTGTAAAAAATCCTTTGAAAAGATCAAAGCCTATCTCGCAAATCCTCCCGTATTAGCACTAGCACTCCCAGGAATACCTCTTAAGTTGTACTTAACAGTCACCAAAGAGACAATGGGAGCCATGATAGCGCAAGAAGTAGAAGGCAAAGAAAATGTGATCTACTATCTAAGAAAAAAGATGCTCGAGTATGAAGTACGCTATACACCTTTTGAGAAATTGTGCCTCGCATTGGTGTGGGCCACAACCAAGTTAAGACATTACATGCTCATGCATACAATCTTTGTATTTTCCCGATTGAATACACTAAAGTATTTATTCGAGAAATCTACACTAAATGGGCGCATATCAAGATGGATAGTCAACTTAGCCTAGTTCAATGTAAGATTAATGCCTCAAAAGGCTATCAAAGGATCTGTGGTATCGAATTTTCTAGCAGACTTTCCAATAGAAGATTCGACGCCAATACACGACAATGAATTTCCAGACGAAGACTTGATGGTCACCGAGGACGATACTTGGACCTTATACTTCAATGAAGCCTCAAACCAAAAGGTATGTGGCGTTGGAGTATTACTAGTATCACCTAAAGAAGAGCATGTTCCAATCTCCATAAAGCTTGATTTCGACATTACCAACAATGCTGCTGAATATGAAGCATGCGTGGTAGGCCTTGAAACAACTTTGGCATTGGGAGTAAAAAAATTACGAATATTCGGAGACTCTTCATTGATCATCAATCAAATTTCTAAGAGATGGAAAGTAAGGAGCGAAAGTTTAGCCCCTTACCAAACTTATTAGGAAACTCTCACTAATAAGTTAAAGAAGGTGGAATATACGTATCTACCTAGAGAAGAAAATCAATTTGCTGATGCCTTAGCAAGACTAGCCTCAATGGTTAGGATTCCTACAGAAATCGAGCAAATGCCTCTAACTATAGAAAAAAGGCATAAACCAGCCTATATTCAAGCTATAGAAGATGATGAAGTGATCCAAGATGAAGAAGAAGAAGAAGAAAAAGAACCGTGGTATACCGATATACGTAACTATGTCACCAAAGGAGAATACCCTCCCCATGCTAACAAAAGAGCAAAACGAGCATTAAGACTCTTGGCTTCCCAATACGTACTCATAGATAACGAGTTACACAAAAGGGTACATGTAGGCATCACTCGAAGTGCGCCTACGTTAAAGCATGTGTGAATATGCTAGGCACTCATAGGAAGTGGGAATTGACATAATACGATTAGGGACAAATAAAGTAGGGAGTCGCCAACAAGTTTGTAAGGAACTTGTAAACCGCTCACGGATCATAAAAGGCAACCACGATTAAGGGACAACGATAGGCAACAACGATTGACTCGTGAAGGTTACACCCCATTCATAATCCATGAGATTACTAACTCCATATGGTTCAGAAC